CCTGCACAATGGAGGTGTTGTTGTATACAAAGACTTTCTCCACAGCCATGGTTGGCACCTAGGCAGCAATTTGTCAAAGCACACGTCCTCAGTATCTATGAAATTCTGGATTCTGGTGGTCTAACATACTGATCTAAACAAATCCATCAAGTCTTAAGATAGACATTTTTTAAAAGGCCTTTGTAGACTCCCCAATGTTCTTGCATTACTTATTCACAACCCAGTAGTTACAACTTTATTTCTGAAAAGTTACTTCAAGCTCCAATAGGAAGAACAGGCAATTTTAACAGTAAATGAGATCCTAGAGGTACCCACTCCACGTGCTTATATCTACTATGCATATAATACAGTACTGCCAGTTTGGCCTAGTTAAGCCACCAGGTTAGAAATCAGACTGTGAGTTCTAGTCCTGCCTTAGGCATGAAAGCAAGCTGGATGACTTTGGGCCAGTCACTCATTCTCAGCCCATCTCACAAGGCTATTATTGTGGGGGAAACAAGAGGAGGAAGGTGTAGATAGATAGCACTGAGCTTGCCATTTTGGACAACAGTGACCTTATCTATAGTAATATTTGTTCTTTTTCTACAACACAAAATTATTTTAAACTTCTACAATGTTTATTGTCTAGTAAAACTGCCTCATTTAAAAAACTGTTCTGAAGACTTTGTATTACAATTTGTCTTTCACAACAATGTCTTTGAACAATCCTTCTCAATGCAAATATTGTGATACTTTTAAGAATATGCCTATGCATTAAAATACCAATATGACTATGCTGGCATTACTTTATTTCTGTGGAAAAGAAACCAATACCTCAGCAAGCAAGATCCGCCGGAAAGCATTAGCAATGGCTGCATCAATCCCCACCATGTCAAATTCCAAAGTACTTTCATCCATATGGATCATATCTATTCTGAAATTCTGTGGAAACAAAGTTTGAAAACAGGCATCTATAGGCATCCTCTTTTGGTTAAAGAAAGGTTTTGCTGACAAACAGTATAAGACAACAATTATTTTTATAACCAAATCTATTCAAATGATAGCCTCTTTAAATCAAACCCTGCTACATACACTGAATACCATCTATTGGCTGTGTAAGATGTAATTAATAAAGTATGATCCAATACATCTGGAGGTCACCAAGCTGAGGAAGAAGTCTTACCATACAATTAAATGTTCATGTCATTATCAATCCAATATTCAGATATTTTAAAAATATTCTATAAATATTGATTTATTCAATTCACATTTCTTCCTAGTTTTTCCAGTCAGATGAGCACAGAAAATGGCTTGTGCACATCTTTCATAAACAGCAAGAAACTGAACTAAGTTTTCCCCAACACAAGCAATATCTGCATTTGAAAATACACTACAGCTTGAACCAAGCTAATAAGATTCAAAAATAGTGTTTTGCATAGATTTGTTATCAAGTAAAGTTAGAAACACCACGGTTCCAAGGAAAGAAGCAACTTTTGACTTTATAAACCGCTTAACAGAAAGAATCACTTCTTTCTCACCTTTTCAAATCTTTGCTGATCCCAAGCATCATTGTATCCTGAGTAATTCCCAGGAAAATCTGTTGTGTGGACCTAGAGAGTAAAGAAAGACTTGGTAAATCTTTTGACAGAAAATGCAGATTGTGCCAGGTTCAATCCCTGAATAGAGCTGAAATCCTAAACAGGTGCCAACCGGTGTTTTCTATATGGGTATGTGTTCAATAAACTAATGACTTATTTCAGCACACGGTAGTTTCCAAATTCCAAAGCAAGATGACTACTAAAAAATCGCTTTACAGAATTATCAGGACAACTGGTGGAGTTCTGTGCATATTCAAGCAACAACCGCACTTATCTGGGGAAACTGTCAAATC